GGGGAAGGGAAGAAATAAGAATAATTGGCAATCAAGTCTTATTCTATAGAATATATTTCAAAGGAAAGTTAACATTTGATTAGGCTCTGAACTTGGTTCAGATTTCAGTTATTTTATTAAAAAAAAATCTATAAACATTTGAACTTTTAAATTTTGATTATTATGCATAACATCAGTAGTCACCCAGTTTTGATCCTGCTGTGAGAGGCATGCAGGTGTGCACACATTTGTCCTTAGAAACCAGTGATTATACCTGGATTTCCATCTAGAGCCCCATTTGAAATCATTTGTGGGATTTGGGTCTTAAATAATAAATTGTGGGAGCGTTTCCTGACCAGCCTGTTTTCTAAGAAGGATTGAATGTAGGAGCAATATTTACCAAATTGGAATGCCTGATTAATAGACTTAGACCTTGTCACATTCAGTTCCCCAAGTACATTGTTTTCAGTTTGTCTGAAATATTCTTTACTTTTAATTCATTATATTTCTTTACAGGAAAAATACTGTTATATTTGTCCTGACATAGTAAAAGAATTTGCTAAGTATGATGTAGATCCACGAAAATGGATCAAACAGTATACTGGCATCAATGCAATCAACAGAACAAAATTTATTATAGATGTTGGTTATGAAAGGTTTCTTGGACCTGAAATTTTCTTTCATCCTGAGGTAAGAATATTGTTGCCTAATATTGCTTTATATTAAGTTTGAATGGAGGGGAAAATGCAATATTCTTGGTACCAGAGCACCACCTTGTGGAAATAAGATAGCGATAAGTCTGGAAGGGCTGGATGACTTTTTAGAGATATAGTATTGCTGTATGTGGAAGCTGGTAAAAATCTCTTGATTTTTTTTTCAGGATCTATAATCTTTTAATTTGTCAAATGCACATTAAAACAGGAAAACAGCTACCTGAAAACTCACATGACTGGGATAAGCAGGCCTTTCTATTTTTCTGCTTTTAAATATGCGTTTGCTGTTTTAACTCAAAATGTACAATATATTCGGTAACGTAGTCAGTTCCTTGTATATCACTCTCATTTTAAAGCAACATGCTTGCACTGTCTCAAGTCTTGGACACTTAAGCATGTATTGCCTTTTAGATGATTAACAGGGCCAGTGACTCAAGTTTTAATGCCAAAATCATGCCTGATGCAGGCTCACTGAAATCAGTTACTTTTAACATACTTGGACCTGTTTAATGTAACCACAGATTTTTTTTCAAAGCCTAAGTAATAAGCAATGTTTCTCAAAATTACATGTAAAACGTTTCAACATTCAACAATTTTTCTCTGGATGTGTTTCATACTTCATGTAGATCAGAACAGGCCAAACTTCCCTCCTAACCACAAATAAAAAAATAACTTTGGCTGAAACTTCAGGAAATGCAGCTTCTGAAATGCACTTCCCCCATAGTCCTGTGCACACCTATGCACAGTGTGTCAGCTTAGCTAGCAGGGATAGAGTGTTGTTGTAGCCATGATCATCCAGGAAATACTTACAAAAAAATCCCTGCCATCCCAAATAGTGATTTATCATTAAATGACTCCTTGGAATAAACAGTAATCAAGAACTGAAGACAAAAGAAAAAGGAAAATAATACATGGAGAGAGGAAGAAAAGAATGTGTTTTTATTTCATTGCTACTTTCTTCTGAAGCTACAACCATTGACGCCTGAAACTCTGGACTCGGTCTGGCCTTTGGACTCTGTCTCAGTTGTCTAAAGGGGAGATGGTAGGTCTTGGGCAGCCTCCATACTGTTGCTAAGGCATATGCATACACGTCAAAGGTGTTTGATGGCCACAGGACTCCTTACAAACAGATTTATCAGGCACCTGACTAGACCTCTTACGCATACACCATAGAATAATAGAAAATTAGGGTTAGAAGGGACCTCAGGAGGTCACATCTAGTCCAACTCCCTGCTCAAAGCAGGACCATCCCCAGCTAGATCATCCCAGCCAAAGCTTTATCTATCCAGGTCTTAACCTCCAAGGATGGAGATTCCACCACCTCTGGGTAAACTGTTCCAGTGTTTTACTACTCTCCTAGTGAGAGAGTTTTTTCTAATATCTAACCTAAACTTCCTTTGCTGCAACTTGAGCCCATTGCTCCTTGTT